AAAACCCACTAAAAAAATACGACAACAACATAACAAACCAAGAGATCACATTAACATCAATCACAGGCTGGCATCTACTCCGTTTTCATTTCGGGTCTCCGGTCTGAAAAAAACCAAAACAAAACAGAAAATAAAACCTCTTGATAGTAAATCGTGTGCTCGTTGTTGTTGTTGTTGTTGTTGTTGTTGTTGTTGTTGTTGTTGTTGTTGTTGTTGTTGTTGTTTCTGCCATTGTTGCTGTTATTGTTATTGTTTTTGTTGTTGTTGGTGGTGGTGGTGGCGTTGTTGTTGTTTCAGCTGCTCCTGTTGTTTCTGCTGCTGTTGTTGCTGTTGTTGTTATTGTTTTTGTTTTAGTTGTTGTTATTATTATTGTTGGTGTTGTTGTTGTTTCTGCTACTGCTGCTGTTGTTGTTGCTGCTGTTGTTGTTGCTTCTGTTGTTGTTGTTGTTGTTGTTGTTGTTGTTTCTGATGCTGTTGTTGCTGTTGTTGTTATTGTTTTTGTTTTTGTTGTTGTTGTTGTTGCTGTTGTTGCCTCTTTTCAAGACAAAATGAAATCATTTTAAAATTTAGGATTATGGTATGCACTGGAGACTAATTCCAAATCTGTCGAGGATAACAACAGGTAGAATCTTTGTACTGCACACGATTCGAGGCCCAGAATGTTGGGTAGCTGTCATCAGAAGTACATTTTTGTCAATAGTCTACTCTGTCCTGAGGGGAAATGCTTACTTCTTAACTAGAAACAAAGAAAATGTAACCTTTATTGAAGAGAAAAAAACTACTACAAAACAACATTCAGATAGATAGATAGATAGATAGATAGATAGATAGATAGATAGATAGATAGATAGATAGATAGATAGATCTAGATCTATAGATAGATAGATAGAAGAAAGAATGAAAGAAAAAACGCAAGAACACAAACAAAAACACGAATAAAAAATGTATAAAAAAACAAGAAGAGCGAAAAGAACAAGGAGAGTTAAAACTAAATCAACAACAACAGCAACAACAACAGCAACAACAACAGCAACAACAACAACAACAACAACAACAACAACAACATCATGACCACCAAGACACTCACCACCACCACCACCACCACCACCTGTAACAACAACACCAACAACACAACAATAGCAACATCATCATCACCATCAGCAACAACACAAACAAAAACTGCAGCAGCAACAGCAACTACAACAACAACATCAATAGCAACAATGACAACAAAATACACTATAGGATATATAATATATATAATATATAATATATATAATTTATATAATAGTGACATTTGTTGACTAACTCACTTGAACCTCCAGGCATAACCAAACTCTGGGTTGAAATGGAATTGGTTGCGTAAGACAAAACCATAGCTGAAAGGAAGCTGGAGGGGGGAAAATGACAATAGTAATAATAATGATAATAATAATAAGAAGAATAAGAATAAGAATAAGAATAAGATTAAGAATTAAAATAATAATAATAATAATAATAATAATAATAATAATAATAATAATAATAATAATAATAATAATAATAATAATAATAATAAAAAGTGATGATGATGATGATAACAACAACTACTACTACTACTGCCACCACGTTGTTGACTAACTCACTTGGGCTCCCCGGCATGACCAAACTCTGGGTCAAAAAGGTATAGAGTGCGCATGACAGAACCATAGCTGGATGGAAACTGGTGGAGGAAAAAATATGATAATAAAGATAAAGATAACAAATAATACAAATAAAAATGATGACATAAGATAAGAGATAAGATAAGACAATACTTTATTATCCCAGGGGGAAAGTTTTCTTGGCTGTACAGGACCGTAAAAACACATGCAGGTATACATAAAAATTTTAATTACTCTCATTAAAATTCAATATGAAAAGAGAGGTAAAGCTGACAAAAATGTTCATATTATTACATCGTATGCATCATTCAACCATAAGCAGGAATTTAATTTCAAGATATTTAGAGTTATACTTATACTGACACATACTCGAAAGAGCAATACACATTAATGCTTATTCTGACAATAGCCTTTGGCTAGATGGTAATAAACTTCTTTTATATCTTTCTTTCTTTGTTTTTAGAGGTACATATCTGCGTTGCGTGATCTGACAATTTGCGTGGAAAGGAGTGTCTTTTTTTATACTTGTGGCGTTATACATTTCATCAATCTATAATCATAATAATAATAATGATAATTATGATAATAACACTGATTAACCAACTTTGCAGCATGAGGTTTGATACTTGTTTTAAGCTAATTTGAGGTCGTTGATTCCGGAAATGGCTATAAATTTTGCCGTACTTTGTCAGGTTTTTTCCCTGTGAAAAAGTTGTGCTTTTATGTCAATATGGCAAAATTCAGGAGTTTTCACACATGACCTATAGTTTGGTTTAAAACTTCTTTTTAAATTAATCAGAATAATATGTTGAACCATTAAATGAGTGACTTCTCATCCAAAATAAGTAGGTTATTAATAAAAATTGATTAATGCCCATAATATGTCGGTGCTTATAAACGTAATAAAACACAAGTATATCCCAACATGTGCCCAACAAGAATGTAGCTCTCCTGCTATCCATTTTGACCTATCATGTTTACAAGAGTATGCCAAACAATCTTGCACAAATATTGGTTTGCCTATAAAGACCGCTTTTTTGTCAGAACAAAACCCAGTATTTGGTGAGTTTGTAGAAGTAGTTTTCTTAATGAATGAAAGCCAAATTAGCTTCAAATCTCAGTTGTAGTTTAATCTTCCAGAATTGAATGATTAACTGACAACTGTTTATCATAACTTTTGGTTTCAAGACCGAAAGAAAAAAAAACCACCTGTTTAAACAATGATGTAACGATAGTTTTGTCATTGTAGAGAAAAGGAACTTCATGTACTACTGTTACACTACTTTGAAACTTAAAAAGGATTGTGCCATTTTTTTGCCTGATGAGCCAGGTTTGTTACGAGCAATGAGTATATCTGACAACACTCCGAATGAGTGGGGACTTTTCTTAGATAGTTTAAAAAGAAGTCTGAAGTGTGTGCTACACTACAACGGAAATTCATTTAGGTCCGTTTCTGTTGGTTACTCGTATCTGCTTACAGAAGAATACAGACAAATACAATATTTCTGGATTGACTTAAAAACAAGGACCACAACTTAAAGATTTGTGTTGATTTAAGAATTGTCAGTTTCTTACTTTTTTAAAGGGTGGGGATTGGGTGCACGTGAAGGCTTTCTCGCTTAATAGTTCATCTTATTTTACCAAATTTCACACATATTACAAGCATAGTGAAGCATCTACCAATCTACAATCTAATTTGAGAAAAAAGTTTTGTTACCATGGAGACAGCGGCCATATTTGATTTTGTTGACATTTCTTACGCAATGAATATCGCACTTCATTTTGATGGAAATAGGTTGTCGTTTAGCATGCACGTTAGTGGAATAACATATATACAAAATTGTCTGTTGAATTTTTCCTAATTAAGAAATTTGTAATGACTATTTTTTCTGAGGTAGTATTCAAGTTTGAAAAAAAATCCGCAAAAAATCCACCCTCCAGACACTATCAACAAAAATGTATTACATAAATTGAAAATTCAATAGACGACTTTTTTGTGCTATATCTTCTCTTCATTCTGTGACAATTTCATGAAGATTGGGTGAACAATAGTGGAGGTATTTAAAAAATGAATATTTAGAAAAACCGCGTTTGGAGAAAATGGGCAATAAAGAAAAATATAATTTGTAATAACTTGATGAGGAAATGGTGGGGACTAGCGTGCCTGGTATGTGAAAAATAAGGCTTTAGGGGGTTCTTATGCGATAAAATAGCTGTGCTTTAAGAACGGCTGAAGAATCCTAAAAAGCCTGCGTCTCAAATTCCATAATTTTGACCCGAATCAGTATTTTCAGAGTGAAGTGCCCCCCCCCCCCTTCCACCCCTTAACTAACATGGCGACTATACAAGGTGTCCATGATCTCTTTGTCTGTGGGATAGTCAAAGGAAAAAACCACTGGGAGGAAAAGATGTGATCAGCATCCTCCAGTCTTCTCTCTGTGTCTTTGTTTGGAGCCCAGCTCTCGCATCCATACAAAAGGATTGACCATACGTACGCTTTCAAGGTTCTCATTTTTGTGTTCATAGTTACGTTTCTATTTGGTCGCTTTTACGGACAAGCGGGCTAACCCAGATTTCGGGGGTTTCCAGAAATCTTGACCTACACCCAAAGTAAGAATTGCCCTACCTACCGGAGAAGTTTGGTTTCATTGGTGTGTATATTTCTTTAGTAATAGAGAAAACTCTCCTTGTCTTTTAAAGAAGCTGAACAAGGGGCAAAAACTTTACCTTCGATTTTCTCAAAACAGCATTTTTCGGGATAGCCCGCGTGTGCTTAAAAGCGACCATTTGAGAGGATAAGTTTCATCTCCCTGAAAGTTTCTTTAGATATTACGATCCTCTTTTTTTAAATTTCGGTGTCGGATTATTTTTGGCTTCAGGCGGTATTGTCCTAGGTATCTAAAGCTGTTGACCTGTTTCATTATTTCGTTCTTACATTATGTGATAGTGCATACTGAGATGTCAGCCCATTTTGATATCACCATGTGTTCAGTTTTCTTGGCGTTCAGTAGTAGGCCATTTCTTTCCCTTTTCTCTGTCACTCTTGATCTTGTTAGAATCTCTTGGTGCTTAGACTCAGAGGCAGCTGTCAAGACCGTTTCATCAGCGCACCGTAGGTTGTTAATATTGTGGCCGCTTACCTTGACTCGTTCTTCGAAATCACTGATGTTACTCAGTATCATTTCGCAGTATAAATTAAAGAGTGCTCTGGTAATAGAACACAATCTTGTTGTAGATTCTACTTCTCTGAGAATTTGCCTGTATTTGTGGAGTTTTTCAAATGTTTGATACTTAGGTATATACTTTTAGGTGCCTATTTGACATTTAATGAATTGCCTATAGTATGTTCCATTCGATTTTTCAATGTTAACAATTGAGCTTACCATTGCTGTATGGGCGTTTTATGACGTTTAGTTGGGTATTTAAATTCCTGGGGTGTAATTAATTGGTCTGTCCATGTGGTATTTGAATATATTATGCAAGCATTGGCTCTCAAATTAAAATAGATAAATAGCCTGATAACTTAATATGGCAAATGTTAAAAGGAAAGGGACGTTGAGGGGAGGCGGTAGGGGATGGGGTCGCCAGAAATAACCATTAGCAAAAATTGATAGCTAAAATACTTGAAGGAAACTATAACCTAGTTAATACATCGTGTCGTGTCGGGTGGATGGTTGGAGGTTGCTCTGGTGTGGTCTGCTACTTACTTCCTATCAATGACCTATTTTTCTTATAATTCCTACATCTTGTCTCGTATGTTACTCTCCTGATTTCAATTCTTCTTATCTTCGGTGATTATTTGACCTATTTGTGTTTTAAGAGCCCTACAACTTTAAAAAAAAACAAACAAAACCAAACATGTGGAAACATTCTTGCACCTGGCTATCCTCTCCATAATGGCGTACCTTTGTAGCATCTGTCGTGGTTTTTTCTTGTGTTTCTTGTGTTGTAACTTTTGCTTTTGTCCCCTTTTTCTGCCTAGCATCCTTCTTTGTCGTTTTCAGCTTTTTGGCAGCTGCAGCCCATTTATTGTTAGCTGGAGGCTGTGGGTGAAAAGAAGTCATAAAGTGTATGGTATTTTAAACATAGTGCCGTAAAATACAAGTACACCTCACGAGAAAACAGTACGCTACCTTAGAATTGCAAAGTTCTATCTGATCAGTTCCTAGTTTTGAGGAGTTTGACGTTAAAAATTGTGAGTTTCACAAAATGTCAAGCTTTTTGGGAAGCAATTCTATGAATATCTTGATAACGACTCCAAATAATATTTTGATAGAGCAGATAGAACATTTGATTTCTGACCTCATGCACCTAGTAACTCAAAATTGTCCAAAATGTAAGATAGAACTTTGTAATTCTAAGAAAGCGAATATATATTTCTAGGAATCGTCAGACAACCACACAATTGTATTATGACATCAACGTCTGGGTATTTCTCATTTAATTCCGGTTCACAATGGAGCACACCTTTTAATTTTATACTGTTTGAAACTAAATGTAGGGCAAGAAGGGAAACATTGTATGCGTACTCGACTTCAGTAAGACTTCGTCCTTCATTTGCGCACCCACTGTGCTGAACGTCGCAGCGAAGTTTCTACGGGAAAAAGTGATGGTCACGACAATGCCCAATCTAGTACAGGGCGATTTAAAAAAAAAGAAAAAACAACAACAAAGCATTACATTTTTTCTGAATATCTCTAACAAAATTGTTTTAAAATGCTGTAAATTGGGAAAAGACATAATTAATTTAAAAGGAATTTGCTTGACACAAAATTCAGAGAGGAGAAACTTATTTTGAAAATGGAAATGGCTTTAATAAAAAAAGCACCCATAAATGCAAAGTTCACCAACTTGTAAAGAAAGTTGTGAAACGATTTGTTTGTCTTTTTTTCTTTTTTTTCTTTTTGGCTTTTAATTTTCCATTATTTTGTTTCCTTTACAGAGTTTAAAAACTAAAAATTTATGCTGGAATTCCTAGAGGTACTGCCCTGCAAGCTCTCCTTTGGACTCGACGCGTCGTTCGAAATTTTCAATTGCCGCCAAACACAAGGATCCGGAAACAATGAGTCATGAAAGCCCCTCCCCCCCCAACACACACACTGTACATATTCAGTATGGGGTGACTTCTAGAGACAATAGGGGGTTGGGTGCCCAATAGGCAGCATTTTGGAGTTTATATTATCCTAAAAGGTGAAAATTTGCTTTTCACTTAACCAAATTAATGTCATCGAGGACATGTTCATGCTTGCAAGACGATCAAGGAATCATAAACACATTGCCATGCTTTGGTCCATGTCATTTCGACCTTGCGAACATGAAAATGGTACGGTCGTAGGGACACAACTACTGAAATCCTCCACCTGGTGACGTTTAAATGGTTGCGAAAGGTGTTTTTTTGTGTTCTGCCTGAAGGAGTCATTTTGTTTGGGAATTTTTATTTCTGATTCGCTTTAGATCACAAATTGACAGAACTTTTCTACGCATGACACGAAAATCTTGAGGGCACTTTAGCATACTTTCCTTACCGTGCGCGGAACTTACGAAATGTCATGGATGGTGAGTTGGTTGAGAGGTAATGTTTAATACAAAAACGTTCTGCTGCTCTTTACTAAACCAAACCATGATCTCAGCAGCAGGCAAAGGAAATTTGAGAAAAACAATTTCTGCAAACTTGACTTGTGAGGCTACAGTAGCAATAGTAGCATGCAACGTGGTGCGATCGTTGCAACTTTTAGTGGTAGGTTTAATGAGAGCTAGTGCTTCACGCTACACAAATGGGAACAAGGTTGAAAATAGTTCTTGGTTCTGTGGAATTACCTAAAAGAAGTATCAGACAAATTGTTTTCTGGCTTCCAAATATTGTGTTTAAATTTGAAACGACAAAACTTCAGTATGGAAAAAATATGCTTACAACACAAGTTGTAAAATTGATCGCTGTTTTTTTTTTTTTTATCCCCCTGTATATTTTACTTTGAGTCTATGCATACAACATACATGACACTGGACAATTGAAATCGTGAATTCCAAAGGTTCACAATTGAAAAAAAAAATGGGTAAAACGCACGAAAAAGAAGCGCGCTAAAAAATCCTGGATTACAGTAACCCAATATGTCATTTTCAAGACAGAAAACAAGCAAACGTTGAAAAATGTAATTAAGAAAAACGGAAAGGGGGTAAAATGGGCTTTAACTTGTTTTTGTTATTTTCTTTTCTGATTTAGTTATGACATGATTAAAGGTAATGTTTTGTATTATGTTCAAAGATAAGAACCTCCCACTTAATAGATAATAGTATTATTAATCAATCCATTAACAAACTGATTAATTAGATCTAATCTAATAATTATTTAATCAGTAAATTAAACGAAACCGGAGACAAAAGTGAAAGAACTCTTGAAATGCATCAATCAATTAAGTAAAGTGAAGCTTTCAATTCCTCCCCTCACCTGCTCTGTCCGTGGCTTGGCCTTGACCCTTTCTGCACGAGGCTCGCTTCTCAGGTGCTCCAGGATGGACGCTTTGTATTCGGCATGAGCGTGGTCTCGTGGGTTAATGCTGCCATTGTATGGCCTCATCTTTTTCTCCATCCAAAGCCAGGTACAACCGCTTTCCGATCGGGTTCGGATGTTGGTCGGTGCTTTTTGTAAGTCTGAAAGGTACAAACTGTGCAAGAAATAACTTTAATGTGGGTGTGACGGCTGGGTATTTTTCGGTCTCTCTCTCTCTCTCTCTCTCTCTCTCTCTCTCTCTCTAACTTGAGGTGTTTGTGTGACCTATCTGTGTTGCAAGAGCT